AAAAAATGCCATTGTGTCCATACTTTATACAGTTTTGCATAATGATTTGAGTTATTTGAAGGTTAAGTTTACTTAGAGTCCATGCCAAGGCCCTGTTCAATGGGGAGTGTCCAATCAGATAAGTTAGATGCACATACCATGGCTGAGTTGTTTCAAAGGGATGGGGATTCTATAACAAATCATAATCATGTGGGATTCTCAAACTTTTTATTAATATAGTGAAATCTGGTAAAATATTTCTGAGAAGACTGGGAAAAAAATTCTCAAAAAAAGATCTTAAAACTGGATGGTGCAAGGGTGAAGCATGTTCCTACATGGTGATGGCAAACTTCAGTGGGTGTATTGAATATACATGGACACAAGTTTCTGCTGATATGGTGACATTTCTCTATGGTGAGGGTCCCACCAGATGAGAGAGTCACCTCCATCCCTACAGTGTGACCACTTATCACGTACACTGACCAATGCATTGAGCCCAACTAAGTTCAGGAGACTGGGATGACTATCTTTATCCTATAGGCTTTTGGTACCAAAGGGTGGTCCAGGGACCAGAAGCATCAGCATCACCTGGGAGCTAGTTGGAAATGGAGAATTCCACCACCTGCTTTTGGCCCACTAAAGCAGAACCTGCATTTTAATGAGAACCCCAGATGATTCATATGCCCTTTTGCGATTAACAGTCACTGCCTTAGGCACTGGGTCACATCATATCCCATTAAAGATTAACATTAGCTATTTAACTGAGTGTTTATGATGTCATCTTCATAGCAACTTTTTTTTTGTTTTTGTTTTTTTTTTGAGCAGCATGTTTGTGTCAGCAAAGTGCTGGATGTTTCCATATATTATGTTTCTTCCTCACAACCAGGTTATTTTCAAAAGACAAAAAGGGAGGAGGGAATCAAACAGATTAAGTAACTTAACCCAAATTCACAACTGTTGTAACTAGTGAAGCAACATTTCACACCTTGATCTACCGCTCTCTTTAATTCTCCAGCTGAGTGTGGCTACCCCCTGGTATAAGCTATGTTCTTCTTTTGCAGTTTCCTCTTCTACAATTGTAATTCAGAATGGTGTTTGTGCAAAGCATGGCATTTATAGGGATAAACCAGTCATTCCCAGTCAGCTTTTCTTCTATATTGTTTTTTGGTCTGCCTCTTAATGCTCTTTTGTATGTAAAAATGTGATTATGGTGCTTAGATCAAGAAAGACTAATAAACAAGCCATTCAAGAGAATATTTTGAAAAGTTAAAAATTTGTAATCTACATAAATAACAATGTGAATATAACTAAAACAGACTAAATCAGATTATAAACATTCATTGCGGTTATTATTTCTCAAATCATTTCCAAGTATTCACGGAGCACTTTCTATATGCCAAGCACTGTGCTAGGTGGATACTAAAGACACAGTGGTGAGAAAATTATATAACGTGTCCCAAGAATTTTTATTTTAAAAAGAAGCAGATCAGGGGCACCTGGGTGCCTCAGTTGGTGAAGCATCTGGCTCTTGGTTTTGGCTCAGGTTTGAGCTCGTGATTCGTGGGATCGAGCCCCACATTGGGCTCTGCGCTGCCAGAATTCTCTACCCCTGGCATTCTGCCCTTCCCCTGAAAATGCGCACATGCACGCGCCCTCTCTCTCTTTTTCAAAATAAATAAACTTAAAAAAAAAAGAAGCAGATTATTAACAAGCATTTCAATGAAGTATGGAGGATTTTAAGAGAAAAGCGAGCTAAGTGATCTTTGGAGAGTTCTAGACCGACACCCAAACCCTAGGCTTCTAGGCTATTGGGGAAGAGCTCCTAGAAGAAGTGACATCTTAGTTGGAGCAGAAGTAGCAGCTAGGCAGACAAGCAAATAGAGAAGTTGCTCTAAGCAATGCAGGTAAGGGTGCTCTAACCTACTAGTAATGACATATGGCTGCAGCAAAGTTAGGAAGCAAAAGATAAAATCAGAGAAATTATAAGGAGTCAAATTGTGAATGGCCTTGTAACCGTCCTGGGGAGGATACACTTTAGTGTCAGGTCCTTGGAGATGTCAGTCAAGGAGTTTTCTTAGGGGAGTAGCATGATTGGCTTTCATATTAAAGAAAATATTCTGGGTTGACATCTAAAAGAATGGACTGATGGGAGGAGATTGGTGGCAGGGAGGCCACTGGGAATGTGTTGCAATAATCCCAGTTGAATGATAATGTGGCCAGAACTCAGCGTAAGGGCAACAGGGAATGCATAAGGTAAGTTTGTACAGTGTTAAGGAGTTGACATCTGAAAGACTAGTTTTGGGAAGTAGGGAAGATGAGCAAATAAAGGTGCCCCCCACCCAGATTTCTGGTCCATGCACAAAGGCATAGTGTTTCATTCACTGAGATAAGAAACTTGAGAAGAAGACAGGTTTGGCTCTCTCTCAAAAATTCTAAGGGAAAAATGTGAGAAGATGCCACACTCTTCATAGTTCCTCTCGTTGGGATGGGACTGGGATGGAAGGGGTGGTCATTTAATTTTCTTCTTTCCAATTTGATGTGTTCAAGGTATCTGTGATGATAATTATGATTTTTGAGATATCAAGACTATAAATTAGGTATTGAGAGTCCTTATTTTGAGAGTCTTTGCCATTTAATACCACAGATGTTACATATAAGTGTGTTAATGTATGGTTTGCACGACTTCAAGCGCTTCTATAGTGGTAGTGAAGAGACATTTAGAAAACAAGCAGATCTCCTGAAGATTAGCTTTCAAACTAACAACTTCCCAGTTTATGTGATCATTTTGAAACAGGAGTATAAGTAGTTTAAGTCCAGGAGGCACAGTAAAAGGTGAAGGACTAGAATTGTCACCTACTGAATACACAAAGTTGTTGTTTCTTTTTAATTTCTAAAACCACTTATATTCTAACATGATAGGAGAAAAATAACTTTGCCAATGGTCTTTTCTCTGGAATGTCAGGTAATTGAAATTGAACAAACACTGAACAATGGCAGTGATGAATCTCTCGATGCAATAAATTCTATTTCCATGCAGCATTCATTTTCAACAACTAACAAGTGCCAAAGGTTTATAAAGAAGAAATCATGTCAGGGAGATTGCTCTCCCCTTCCACCCCCCCAAGAAAAGGATTTCAAAACTAGGGAAAAGAGCAACTTTATTATGTCTTCGTTGTACAAGTGGAGTATTTGACCCCTTAGGTCATAGATCCATAAAACAAATTAGTGTTAATCTCTGTGGATGGGAGCATGGGTCACTTTGACAGCAAGTGGAAGAAGGGCTGGAGATAAGTAGTGAAAAACTTATTAGGAGTGTCAGAAGGTGAAAGTTAGGCGAGGCTTTCCAGGTTTGCTGGTTGAAATACTGCAGGGAAAAAAAAGGAAATCGAGACAAAAGTTTGGTGATATTGTCTATAGTCAGTTGAAGTTTTTTCCTGCAGGGGGGAAAAAAAAGGAAATGGAGAAATAATTAGGAAACTGCAGATGCGACAGAGAAATGACGGATGTTAGGAGAGCCAGCTATTATCCTCAGCTCTGTGTTACTCCCTGCTCTGCTGTCAGTAGCTCACAGAAGCTTTTGTTAGCATTATTGGCTCCTGGAAAATTTAGGCTATTAGCATTAAAAGACTATGGACTACATTTTTATGATGTCTTTATTAAGGATACCTTTTTATTTTCTTTTAAATGTGTGCCTCACATGAGCATGTCCTTGTTTTTCTTTCTTGCTGCCCTTTTTAGAATATTTTTATATCATTTGATTCTGCTGGTGCCATGAAACATTCTAAAATAAACAAAACTTGTTTCCTGTACCCAGTGTTTTGGGATATCTGTGTGTATATGTGTACATATGTGTGTGTTGCCCGGTATAGGAAGTTATTGGTAATCTGTTCTGGGTATGAGACAGGTAGGTTACTCTTAAAGTTTCAGAAGTGTATGGTTAACTTCTGAAATCCAGTTCCAGAATTAGTATTTCTAATTAGTATACCTCCTGTTAACCCCTAGTCAGACAGAGATGGGAGAATTGGCTAGAAACAACCATTGCTCAGTGCTTTGGTTTTTCCCCCTCACAAACTCCTCAAGTAAGCAGATCTCCCAAAGGTTGCCTTACAGGTTAAGCTAGTGATTGGAGTTCTAGGCACAAGCTCCTTAGGAAGAGAAACTGCAAATGAACTGGATTAACTGATTTATTGACCCCTTTCTGGGCCGCTGGTAGTTCAGCCTCGCTTATGGTTTTATTAGTAATTCCTTGTCGTCCTAGACAAGATGGGGCCTCTCCATTGCCTACTTCTTATGATTATTTCCTTAATTTTCCTGGGTCCAGACATTTGTTACTATGGTCACCAAATGTTCATGTAAAGATAGGATACTTTTAATAGACAGCCTAATAGGTTAGGCTGATGTTCTACTCAAATGGGTTATTTTTACTGCAGAGATGGATTCCCAAAATAGGTAGCTTCAACCTGAAGTCAGACAGACCTGATTACTTAGCTAAGTTATATTTTACTTAGCTAAGTTATATGTAAGGAGCCAGGCCTTGATTTATTTTCCTATAAAATGGGGATAAAAAATAATTATCATGTATAGTTCTAGGCAATACACAGGGCAATTCATTGCCTAATGTTCGTACTTTCAAAAAACGATAGCTTCTATGGCCATATCATGTCAAAACAGTTGGTCTCATCTTGATCTTTCATGATGACTTAAGTCTCTGAAATGCCTACATTAGAAAGTCTTAGAACTCAAATACAAACTAAATGACTTTACTTTGGTTCCTCCAGGCAAGGAGCAAATGCCACAAGAGACGAGCTGACTACATCTGCATTCCTGACTGTTCAGTTGGATAGGTCGCTCGGAGGACAGGCTGTGCAGGTTGGGCTATTTTTACTCCCGGAACTCATACAAGTTGAAGTTTGGCTAGCTCAGTAACTAGTTAAAGCTTTCGTCTCAAGTTGGGATGGGAATTTGAACATTTTCTAAATACTACATTTTTTTCATTTTGGAATTTAAATGTTCCTATTCTCATGCCATGGTAGTTCTCTCAGATTCTGGAAAATAAGGAGCAAACAAAATGAAAAAAACAACGACCAAAAAAACGTATTAACAGACCTAAGGAACCAAATGAACTGACAGGTACTTGACATGAAACTGTTCTACCCAAGTTATTACTTATAGCAGCTCACTTTCCAGCTTTCAAGTCTTTGTAAATGTGTCATTACTTCTTAAAAAATAATAATTAAATAGAGAGGTAAGTCAGATACTTTAGTACAGACAGTCTAAGCTGTGTAGGCCAAATTTGTTTTTCCAGCTGGTTTTTTTTTTCCATCTTTGCCTGGAAGTTAGACCTAAATTTAAAGCAAGTTAAATCTAAATGTAAAGGTGCATGTTAACTTTTTACTTGTTTTTATTTTTAGTTTTTTAAGTTTATTTATTCATTTTTGATAGTGAGCAAGAGTGAGAGACGGAGAAAGAGAATCCCAAGAAGACGCCGCTGTCGGCACAGAGCCCGATGCGGGGCTCCATCCCACAAACTGTGAGATCATGACCTGAGCTGAAATCAAGAGTCAGACACTTAACTGACTGATCCACCCAGGCGACCCAATTTTTAAATTTTTTACAAATTAGCAAGATGACTGAATTCTTTAAATTCACTTAACTCTACTTTCCCATGAACTATTGTATTCACTTCTTGAATGAAATAGTTCTAGGGGCACCTGGATGGCCCAGTCGGTTAAGCATCCGACTCTTGATTTCAGCTCAGGTCATGAGATCATGGTTCATGAGGTGAAGCACCAAGTCGGGCTCTGCACTGACAGCAAGGAGCCTGCTTGAGATTCTCTCTCTCTCTGCCCCTCCCCTGCCCTGTCTCTCTCTCTCTCTCAAAAATAAATAAACATTTTTAAAAAAGAAAGAAATATTTCCGGCTAAGAACTGACAGCAGTCATTTAATTGATCTTTAAAGTGTTCCTTACCAAGTTATGCAAAAACTTTGAAGATATGCATTGTGCTTTATAAATTCTATATTTCATAATAAAATACTTGATATACCCAATGAACGAATTTGCATTCATTGTTAGCCAATGTGAATCCTAAATTCACTATGAAATGGTAATGTGTAGTTTAACCACTAGATGGCAGTAGTTTACAATAATATATAAACAACTCCAGTCCTGCACTGCTGTTTGAAACATTCCTTTGCAGAGTGTATTAACTGTAGTGAAGATTTTTCAATTTACCTTTTATCTCTTTTATCTTAATTTAGCAGTGGAAAATGAGTCTTATTCAGTGGCCCACTTTTTTTTGTGTTGGCAGTTGAGGTTTTCTCAATGTCACCCCAAGTTTGGAGTTGTGACTTAAAAGACATTTGCATAAGTTGCTACTTGCTTATCTGCATGTTTGCTAATTGAAAGATATCTGTGGGGTGTGCCTGGCCGGCTCGGTCAGTAGAGCATGCAACTCTTGATCTCAGGGTTGTGAGTTCAAGCTCCATGGTGGGTGTAGAACTAACTTTAAAAAATAAATAAGTAAATAAAAAAGAAAAGAAAAAAGAAAAATATCTGTGAAGTTAGTTATTTTAGTGCTCCCTAGGCCTCCGGGCTATGGTTTGTACATCAGCATTCCCATTTACTTGGCTTCTAACAAAAGACACACCAGGGTGACTGAGACAGTTCAGTTTTAGCATAGAGCAAAATAATGGAAGAAAATAGAGAACTGACACAAAATTTGAGCTGTTTGTGTAAGGAATTGCATCAGTAATTTATGTAAGAAACAGGAGATTTGTTTCTAATCCAATATCTGGTGTTCAGCTACTAGGTGAAGTTAAATGATTTACTATTTACTTTCTTCAATTTCTTTATCCTGAAGAGTCCTTATATTACGTATTGTAAGCGGTTATATTTAGCAAATCTATTACCATTTCTATAGATAAGAAGTAGAAAATATATTCAATTTTTGTTTTTGCCAGCTTTTGATGTTTGGATTGAAATCTGTTCATCTCCAGATTATCACAATGTTTTCATCTCATAGTTGTAGAGATGTAGAAATAATAAATATGCTTTGGTGTTGCCTTATTTTGGGAAGCATTTAAATGTACATCTCTTCACCTTCTGAACAAGATCCAAAACGTTTCAGAAACAAATATATCACTAAACATCTGTAGTGTTGGTGCTCTTGAAAAAAGTAATTTTTATAAATGATGGCATACACAAGGACTTTGTTGTGTTTTTCTCTTTTGGAGATGTAGATGAACAGCCTTATTTGTTTATACTTTCTGGAAGCAGAGAGTGGTACAGTATGGTGATGTTTCCCCTGAGAAGAAACTGCTCAGGGTGCTGTGTCTGGAGTAAAAGATTCTTAAGTCAGCAGGAAAACTGTGCTTGATTTGCATTAACTTATATTTTCTGTTAATCATCATGCCTTCTGCGCTTCATTTTTAATTTGTTTTTTGTTTTGTTTTCAAAAGGGAAAATAACACATGTGGAAATACAGCCTTCTTTCACTGCACCCTTTATTACGTTTCTTTTATCCCCCCTGCCCCCCAGATCCGAGTCTCTCAAGGCAAAGAGCCTGCTCACCTGCTGAGTTTGTTCAAAGACAAACCGCTCATTATTTACAAGAACGGAACATCAAAGAAAGGAGGTCAGGCACCTGCTCCCCCTATACGCCTCTTTCAAGTCCGGAGAAACCTGGCATCTATCACCAGAATCATGGAGGTAATGTCACGCATTCAATGAAACATGCCCTGTTTACAGACTTCCCGGTGGACCTGAGCTATCAACAAATAGTAGTCTTCAAAAAATTGGCAAATTCCTTTTATTTCGATAGTTAATCCATTGTTCACAATAACAAATTGCTAAAAGCAGGAGAACCAAGTTAGCTCCAGATATCAGGCCTGTCACACTTTTCGTCTGCATTGTACCAAAACAAATACATTTTAAGAGTAATGTAACAAATCAAACGGTCAAAGGCCCGAGGAAGCTGAAACTTTGTCTTGAAAGGCCTGGAGGAAGATGGATGGCATGTAATGGCCAGGTGGTCATAGTGGGGAAATCCAAGAGGGAAAGCCCGTGTTTGTGTAGGTGTAACAGCTGTGGAAGGTAAGCTTCATCGCACGTGGGGCCAGAACCATAACTCAACGAGCCACAGAAGCTGTCTCTGACAGCAGCTGTGAAAGAAATCAAACCCCATATCACAGGTCATAAGACAAGAAGACCTCCAGGTATGGACAAGGCTGGCAGGCATGGGTGTTCACGTGGCTGGTGTTTTCACCTCTAGGCTGGTGTTTTCATCACTTTTCATCATCCAGACCCTTCAGTCACCATTGAAATCCAAGTCTCCCCAGTCAGCCCTAAACTGCCCTGCACATTCTGTACTCCCCACACCTGGACCCACCTGCGAACCCTTCCCCTTCACACAAACCATTCAGCTGAGCCGTTGAAGCTAGGTGGGTCATAGCATCCCCCCACTACAATCTGTTCCCTATATCACCCTCCCCCTTTTTGCACTGTGGCTGTCCTCTGAGGACATTGCCCATACAGCCCTCTTAAGTGGCAGGTGTTTTTCCCCAGTGCCCTCTTACCAGACATGGGGGCGGCTGGAGTATCCTCCTTGCTCAGCCTTGGCTGTTTGACTTTTGTCCTTCTTATCAGACTCTCCCTCCCTCAGCTTCCTTGTGCTGTTGTCCATGGAGCTGCCAGTCCTTCCCCTCTTATTCTTTGGTGGTTTCAGCCATTGTTGGACTATGTCCATCACTCTGGCTTCTCTCATCCAACAGTCTTATTGTTGACCCCTTTTATCTCACACTCATGTGGTCCTGTACTAAACCGTGCCATTGACAATCACTTTAGCACCTCAGAAATCTGTTTCAGACATCTAATCTCTGACAACCATCTGCTGTCATTTGGCCCCTTTACTCTAGGATGCATATCCCAGCAACCTCAAACCTGAATCCATGCACCCCCTCCATCCACCACACCCTTCATACCCTCCACTCTCCAGATCTCTCCTTTGAGAACTGAGTCAGAGTTTCAGAGAACATAAACGTAATCACACAAGAGTCACTTATCTACTCCCCAAGTTCACCATTGTGCCTGCATCTGTTCTTATATATTCTCCTTCTTGCCTGTTTTGTGGAATACATTTGTTTATTTATATTTAACAATTCATAGGTATTTTATAACACTTATATATAAATACTAAATTATTTTATAAATTGATATTGATATACCCATATCCACAAATTAACAATGCAAATTAATGTTTGTAAAAAGTAATATCTTGGTAAATAAATTAATACATGTTTATTACATAAACAAACAAAATGTGACTTCTGTCCTAAGGCTGAATTCTTACCACCTGTCACCACCAACTCCTGTCCAGAACCTCCCACCCTCTTGCCTTCCTACGGGCTTTCTTGGATTCCACTCTGTCCCATGTTCTTATCTCACTTCCCATTCATCATTATGGCTGGCAGTAATCTCCTTTCTCTGTCATCAGTGTATTCTTCTCTTCTGGATTATTTACTTCACAATACAAGCATACCTTCAAAACACTCCCATCTTCCTTTAAAAACTATCTTTTGACCCTGATCCTGCCAGCTACCGTATCCTTTCTCTGTCCTCCTTAAGAGCACAGATCCTCAAAAGCATTGCCCTCGCTCACTCCCTATCCGTACACGTGTAAGCCTCTTCTCTGTAAAGCCGTTCTCCTCAGGCATCCATTCCCACCACGCCTATGCTGTTATCTAGTTGCCAGTGCCCCCCATTCACCATCTTTTCGGACCCCTTTACTTAACCTTCCATTAGCCTTTGCGACAGTTGCCCTTCCCTGGCTTCTTGAAACACTATTATTTTTATTTTATTTTTTTCACCAGGCCTCTGAAGCCACTTACAAGATTTCTTCCAAACTTCTAAAGAGTGTTTTTGTTCCACTTCTCATACTAAACCAGTTTCTGCTTCTCCTCTGCTGTATGTCCTCCAAGCCCCCTAAGGCTCAGTCTTGGCCCTCTCCATGATGATCGCATTCAGTCATATCATTTAAATGCTATCATGTACACTGATCTCATCCAGAACATTCTGTACACGGGTTCTGATGTGTTCAATGATGACTAATTATTATTTTTTTTAATCTATCAAATTAACCATTAAGCTCTCATCTATAGGTACACTCAGCTGATGTCAGAAGAGTTGACAAGAATCCTTGCATTCCTGGTCTCTTCCTTGCACATCTTTATGAGACATGCAAGCTCCCTGTGATGTGGTTCCTTTGTGTCCTTTCAGCCTCTGAAACTGGCTGTCACATTCCTAGCCTCTCTGAAATGTGCTAGTCAAAACCATGTTTGTGAGGCTTTCTGTTTTCATCTCCTGGGACGCTAATGCTTTATAATGTTCTATTTTGGAACTACCTTCCTGATGTCACACTAGCCCCTGTGTGGGCCTGTTGCCCCCTGTCTATCATCCAACCTCTTTCTTCTGTACCAATAAAGAGACATTTGGATGAGAAATTGGAAGTCCTGGTTCCTATCAATCTCCATCATCACATCTGATAGATTCCTTTGACTGTTGGTCCAAGAGACCTTGTTCCTACTGAAAAAGGATGATAACCACTTCCCTGAATGTTACCAACCCCTGGAACACATCTTTAACATTTCCAACAGATTGTGTGTCAACTATATTTTAATTAAAAAACAAATAAAAAACAGAACTTCCAATGATTCCTTCCTCCTCTGGGGTGCTCTCTGGGGATAAGGCCCTGGCAAACCTGGTGAAATCCAGCTCTCCATGTTAGTTGATGGCACTTCAACCCAGTTGGCCAAGTGCCAGCATTTGGCAGCTGAGCATCACCTCCTTCTTGAAACGCTGTCTGCACTTGGCCTTGAGAACACCACACTTGGGTTTTCTTCCTCTCTCATGGTTGTTCCATCTCAGTCTTTCTCACTGGTTCTTCTTCATCACATTGAGCCCCACAGTTGTGCAGAAAGTCATACTGTCAGTGACACAGTCACATGGTCAGACAGGTTCTCACAGAGTCTGACACAGAGTCACAGAATCACAAGGTCATAGGCAGGAAAACACCCATCCTGGGACCCTTGGGCTCACTAGCAGGCCCGACACTGCACATGCTTGCCCTGCCCCGAGGTTCCACGTCCAGCCTCACCCTCAGGTGAGAGTCTGGGCCCGTCTGGGTCCTTCTCACTTCTTTGTGGCCATAGGGAGCACAACTGTGCTCACCTGGCCAGTCCCTGAGAGTGGCCATGGCTTTGTGGTTGAAAGGAAGGGGCATGTCAGTGCTGTGTTTTTAATCTGCTATAGTCTTTTATAATTTGACTTATGATTTATCTGAGCCTGGAGAACCTTTTAGTGAATTTGCATTGTTATCTCTTTGCCAACATTGGACTCCAGTTCCGATTTTATGATTCCTAGGTGTCCTTTGTAAGTTTTTGGTGTTTTGTTTTTTTTTTATTTCATTTCAGTATGATTAACATACAGTGTTATATTAATTCCAGGTATACAATATAGTGATTCACCAGTTCCATACATTACTCAGGGCTCATCAAGATAAGTGTACTCTTCATATCCTTTATATATTTTATCTATCCTTCCCCTCTTCCCTCTGGTGATAATCAGTTTGTCCTCTGTAGTTAAAGCTCTGTTTTTTTTGGTTTGTCTCTTTTTTCCCTTGTTCATTTGTTTTAATCCACTTATGAATGGAATTATATGGTGTTTGTCTTTCTCTCACTGGCTTATTTCACTTAGTATTATACTCTGTAGCTCCATCTATGTTGTTGCAAATGACAAGATTTCGTTGCTTTTTAGACTCAGTAATATATATAGCTGGAAGTTTTATACACACACACACACACACACACACACACACACGTCACTTCTTTATTATCCATTCATCTATTGATGGACACTTGGGCTGCTTCCATAATTTGGCCATTGTAAATGCTGCCTCAGTAAATATAGGCATGTATATATCCTTTTGAATTTGTGTTTCTCATGTTCTTTGGGTGAATACCCAATAGTACAATTACTGGATCATAGTGTAGTTCTATTTTTAGGTTTTTTAAGAACTTCCATACTGTCTACACAGTGGCTGCACCAGTTTGCATTCCCACCAACAGTGCAGGAGGGTTCCCCTTTCTCCACATCCTTGCCACTATTTGTTCTTTCTTGTGCTGTTGATATTAGCCATTCTGATAGGTGTGAGGTGATACCTCATCGTGGTTTTGATTTGCATTTCCCTGATAATGAGTGATGTGGAGCATTCCTTCATGTGTCTGTTGGCCACCTAAATGTCTTCTTTGGAAAAATGTCTGTTCATGTCTTCTGCTCATTTTTAATTGGATTATTTGTATTTTTTGGTGTTGGGTTATATAAGTTCTTTATGTATTTTTGATACTAACTCTTTATTGAATATGTCACTTGCAAATATCTTCTCCCATTCAGTCGGCTGTCTTAATTTTGTTGGTCGTGTCCTCTGCTGTGCGGAAGTTGTTATTTTGATGTAGTGCCAAAAGTTTTGCTTTTGTTTCCCTTGCCTCAGAGACCTATGTAGAAAGATGTTGCTATTGCCAATGTCAGAGAAATGACTGCCTATGCTCTCTTCTGGGATTTGTATAGTTTCAGGTCTTACATTTGGATCCTTAAACCATTTTGAGTTAATTTTTGTGTATGGTGTAAGAAGGTGGTCCAGTTTCATTATTTTGCATTCTTTTGCATTCTAGATGCATTTCTGCATCTTCTATTTTGTATCATTTGCATGTTGCTGTCCAGTTTTCCCAACACGATTTGTTGAAGAGACTGTCTTTTTCCCGTTGCATATTCTTGCCTCCTTTCTCAAAGATTAAGTGACCATATAATTGTGGGTTCATTTCTGGGTTTTCCATGTTAGTTGATCTAGGTGTCTATTTATGTGCCAGTACCATACTGTTTTGATTGCTACAGCTTTGTAATATAACTTGAAGTCTGGAATTGTGATATCTCTAGTTTTGTTTTTCTTTTCCAAGATTGCTTTGGCTCTTCAGGGTCTTTTGTGGTTCCATACAAACTTTAGGATTGTCTGTTTTAGTTCTGTGAAAAATGCTGTTGGTATTTTCATAGGGATTGCATTAAGTCTGTAGACTGCTTTGGAAAGGTTTCCTTTTGATTATTTGAAAAACCCCTTTAAGTTGGGGAAAGAAAAACTGAACATCTTTTGCTTTATGTGTGTCATTTGTGTACATTACACCCACTTTCCAACCATCATTTATAGCCTATACTTGTTCTTATGATTTCTTTGAATATCATTTTTGTTACTTATCACTTACATTTGTGTAACTTTATTTGTAGAGCCCTATGCTTGTCTGGGGGCAGATAAGCATTCTAAAGTGACACAGAGAAAAGTGCTACTAATGTTTCTTTTTTTAAAAAAGTGTTTATTTATTTTGAAGCAGACAGAGAGCTCTAGCGGGAGAGGGGGAAAGAGAAAGGGGGAGAGAGAGAGAGAGAGAGAGAGAGAGACAGAGAGAGAGAGAGAGAGAGAGAGAATCCCAGGCAGGCTCTTCACTGTCAGCACAGAGCCCAACATGGGGCTTGATCTCACAAACTGTGAGATCATGACCTGAGTGGAAACCAAAAATGGGACACTTAAGCGACTAAGCCACCCAGCTGCCCCCAATGTTTCTAATACCGTAGTGATGTCCTAGTGCCACCCTGGGATCATGACAAAAGGCAAAGGATGGTTTGTCCCTGTCACAGCTTCTCAGGCATGTTTATTGAGGGAACAGCAATGAATTTGAATCACTGTGTTATTTTTCTTTATACTCTAGGTAGATGTTGATGCACATTCCTTGAATTCCAATGATGTTTTTGTCTTGAAACTGCGGCAAAACAATGGCTACATCTGGATAGGAAGAGGTGCTAGCCAGGAGGAGGAGAAAGGAGCAGAGTATGTAGTGAGTGTCCTCAAATGCAGAACCACAAGGATTCGGGAAGGCAGGGAACCAGGTGTGTACTGTGGGGAGAAGGACAGCAGCCAACATTTCTATTTGGTATCATTGCTAATTATGTATTTATTTATTTTGATAAATAGGGCCTTTGTAATAGTTACAGGGCATTAAAAATCCTTTCATTAGTTGCAAAAGTGGGTGATGGTACCTGTCATATTTAAGTAATTTCTTAACATTAAAGTCAAGGTTAATGTAAAGCAATACCAACTCCATGCTCCTGGAAAAGCATTCAATAACTCGTTGTATTTTTCACAGAGGAGTTTTGGAATTCCCTTGGAGGGAAAAAAGGCTACCAGACTTCTCCACTGCTAGAAACCCAGGCAGAAGACCATCCGCCTCGGCTTTATGGCTGCTCTAACAAAACTGGAAGATTCATTGTGAGTGTCTTGCAGAACATGGGAATAGAACTGAACGACCTTGGGAGGCATTCTGGTGTGGCTCTGACACTTTTTAGCCATGTTAGTGCTCTGATTCTCAGTTTTAGCTTGCTTGTCTGCAAACAGGTGATAATCTTAGCTCTATGCGGGGTCGCTTTAAGAGTCAATGAGTCAGTGATGTGGGGCATTGGGGTGGCTCAGTTGGCTAAGCCTCGGACTCTTGATTTTGGCTCAGGTCACGATCTCATGGTTTGTGAGAAAGAGCCCCATGTCGGGCTCTGCGCTGATAGTGCAGAGCCTGCGTGGAATTCTCACTCTCCCTCTCTGTCTCTGTCTGTCTCTCTCTCTGCCCCTACCCCATGTGCATGCATGCACACACACTCTCTCTCAAAATTATTAAATAAACATTCTTAAAAAAAAGAGTCAATGATGTAATGGATGTGAAAGCATAGGAATACTGTAAAGTACTATATAAATCAAACTGCTCATAAAAATATCAGCTGCTTTGCACCTGTGTCAACATGAGGTTGTTGTGATACGAATATGCATATGGTTGGATTTACTAATTTAATAATTTGACACTTTCTGTGGGAAACCATAGTGGTTTGTGATCAGACTATGTCAGTTTTGCACTTCAATTTCCCACGGATTAAAAGTTTCACCACATTGACTGAATAAAAATATTATGGAAATATTATGATCATTGAGCAGAATCAGAGAAAGCTATACATGCACCTGCAAATTAACTGAAATCAGCAAAAATGTTTTATTTCATTCACAGGCTTTAAGTTCCAGATGTTTCAAAGTAAAAGTATTTGTGTACAAGACTGATTTTATACTGGGCTCCAAAATATCTTGGAGTGCAGCCCCTCATCTCATTTCAACCATAAAAATTTGGTTTTCTCTGTTTGACATGTGAGGGCTTCGTGTAAATTTTTTATTTAAAGGACAAACTTCTTTCCTATATAAAATTTGATCTCAAGGTTTGGTCACCATGTCCTGGTGAATACAAGCTTTGTTTTTCAATACACACACACACACACACACACACACACAC